TCTCTCTGCCAGATCCGAAAGTCTAACATGTTTACATGACTTTTGAATGATAACAAGTTGTACATTTTGTTTTCACACAGTAACATTGTATAACTGTAGTGTTGGTCGTCATGACTGCAGTGAATGTTTATCAACAGTAACGACAAGAGAAGAATTACAATGTGGATGGTGTGTTAGTGATACTTCCTGTAAGATTGACGATCATTGTAATCAGGAATGGTTGCAACAAGAATCTACGGTGAAATGTGATGATCCTATTATCAATGCGGTAATAATATGAATCAATATTTAATGAACAAACATTTTGATTTTTTCAACACCAGAATAAAATCATTGTATTTGTTTTCTTACATTTCAGATTTGTCCGTCCTCTGGTTCATTTGAAGGAGGAACAGGATGTGATAATTACTGGTAGTAATTTGGGCAAAGACTCCTCTCGTATTGGGAATGTTACTATAGGAGGGCATCATTGTGAAGTAATCAAAGAAAAATATGTGGTAGCAAGAAGGTACAAAAAAACATTTTCTTCTTTGGTCTTATCTGTACTCTTTTTGCCATTCCACAAACAAACGAGACTACTAAGGACAGACAAAAAAAAATCTTGCTCATCTGATTTTTCTTGGGGTGGTTTTAAAAAGTTTAAACATTCATACCCACCCTATCTTGCATGTACTTTAAACAATGTACAAAACAGAGAAACTTTAAATTGCAAACATTTAAGCAGCTGACATTTAAGTCATCAGTGGAAAACAGTATACATGATGTATACAACTCTTGGCCCAAGGTCCTGCATTTGCAAGAATCTTGCAGCAACGGCAATTGTCCGGTGGTTTCTTTTCACAAAATCAAGAAACCAAAATGTAAGACAGGTGCAAGCAGGTCCAACAAGACTGTTTTTCACTGCTACGTTTGTAATGTGGGTTGTTGTTTTCTATTTATTTACATTACAGTCTTGAGTGTACCACAGAGTCTGCTGCTGTTGATTATTCTGGTACAATCACTGTATCAGTAATTGGTAATGATAATACAACTCAGACTGGAACATCTGATGATTCAGTACAGTTTACATGGAGGGTAAGATAAAATATCAAAATTTTCCCAAATACCAGTAATTAACAAAATAATGAGAGGTTATTATAAATGGTACTGATATTTAGTAGTCTAAAGTTACATGTAGGAAAGTTAATACTTTCCTGTGTCAACATACACATACACATTTTATAGTCACAATAAAACTAAGCTGAATTTTCATATATTTCATACCATAATCAGGAGTGAATATTGAAGCAATGCCGGTAGAACTTCAAAAAATAAGTTATTTTTGTGTAACTGTACAGCATATAATGATTATTTGTCAGTGATGGTTTCTTTCTTCTTCCATCTCTAACACTCAAAGTTCTAAATTTATGTTGAACCATACGTTCAAAAAGAAAAATTTTAAACTGATGACATTTTGGAGAAGCAAAAGATCACCCTTTTCTAATTGAACCAAGTTTTAGTAACCAATAAATTACAAAAAAACTGCCTATTAATTACTTGGTCCAATTTTTAGAGGGGGAAACATTTTGGGGTTTTACAGATATATTAATTGAGGAACATCAATATTAAAGAATGTTATTATGACAAAAATTATTCTTGTTGTTCCCACCTAAATTTGAACTAATATTTTCCGTGATACTCATATGTGCATGTTATGTTGTCTTGTCAATAATTGTTGACCATTTGATTTTATCTCATTTAGAGCCAAAGTGTGGTTGACTTTCACCCTAAGATTGGTCCTAAATCTGGAGGTACTACAGTTATTATATCAGGACAATATATGGATGCAGGTAGAAATATTACAGTTGACATTGGTGGTTCTATATGTACTGTAGACAGGTAAGT